ATGAAAAAAATAAAACGGGAAAATTTACCAAATTGTGTTCGCTTTTAAGTAAAAATTGCAGAATTCACTTCGAACTAATATTTGTTAAAGTTTCTCAGTCAATCCCAACACAATCCTATGGCGCTACCTAGCGGTGCTTTACCGAACTACTTTTCTTTCTAGAATGTTCTCTTGTCGTTGTTGAATCGTCGCCATCAAGACCAATCCACACAGGTCAGTCATTCCCGAGGACGAATTTTGGTACTCTACTGCGCAGTGACGTAGTATTGAGTGCATACAATGTATTTCTTATGGGTGCACTCAATAGTACGTCATAATGAGTGCTGCGAGTTAGGGCCAGGCGGGGGAGTAGATTTCAAAAAAGCTGCGCAATGAGTGCAATGACTGACCGTTGCCTACGAGAATGGAGAGGCCGTAACTAGTCAGTTCTGTGACGTCAAGCTAGTAGATATTTACCGAAAACAACAAGCATCTCCGGGTCATCAGTGCATCGATGAGTGAGGCAGTCGCTGCGTGGACCAATCAGAGTCGCTCTCGATCGGCCGAAGTTGCGCGAGCGGCCCGTTTGAATCTGAGTGGAGTAACGATTTTCGGTATTACGCATTCATTTCCTCGATATTTAGACAATGTCACAAATGAACTAGTTAGTTTTCTAAAGTGAAATTTCATCCTCTTTCTAAACGGTTCTTATGAAATTTTGCGTCAGATCAACCCTGAAAGAGATATCGTAGGCAACGGACTGACCTGTGTGGATTCATAGAGAAAAAAAAAGGAGGAGTTTGCATTTCGGGCATCTTGGAATTTTTTGATGACTTGATGACGTAGGTGGGTACAGTGTGAAGGGGACGTCCCTGTACCCAGCTGTACCCACCTACGTCATCAAGTCATCAAAATATTCCAAGATGCCCGAAATGCAAACACCTCCTTTTTTTTCTCTATGGTGTGGATTGGTCTTGGTCGCCATTGCTAGAGTCCCTTTATACCCAGAGTTAAGACAACTCGATTATCAGCTGACTGGCAGCCGGCCTTTGCTGGCCATGGAGGCCGAAACGAGTGCACCCAAACGAACGATATTGAGGGATAAGGATCAGGAATCCTGCGATGTCTGTCACACAAAAACAACAACATCAACAAATTGATCAATTAAAAGGAAAATTAGATTGGTTTGTGAATAATTTCTTAATCTATTTTCATTTTAGACCGATGGAAATAACAATTTACTCTTGATAAACCACAATTAGGTAATATTTTCATTATTCTTGTTCACATTCGAGGTACCGCCATCTTGGTGCACTCGTTTCGGCCTCCATGAGCGAGAACCAATCAGAATTGGATTTTTTTTTAGGCCACTTTCAGCCCAACCAAAAGTGAGTTGTCTTAACTCTGGGTATAAAGGGACTCTAGCCATTGCTAAGTCAATATAAGTCATGTTCGCCTTTATAAGATTACTTTTTCTCTCAATAAAAGTTTATCAACTCTAAATCGAGTTGTGTTATTTCGAAAGTTTAATAGGTCATGGGCCTCAGTTGCGAAAATCTCGCGTAATGAAAACGGAAATCGCGTAGTTTTTACGAAGCCGTTCGTCTCAGTTGTTCTTTGTAAGAAGCCGTGTCGCGTGTTCGAGAAGTGATAAAAGAACGTGATCATGGAAAGTGAAAGCCAGCCAAAAGTTTTAGTACAGTCGTTCCTTAAGCTGGACGAGACGAACTGGAATCTCTGGAAATTCCAGACTCGGGTTGTGTTAACTGCGAAAGATCTATTTGAAATTACGACGGGAGAAAGTAAAATGCTGGTAGTGCCGGATAGAGTCCCTTTATACCCAGAGTTAAGACAACTCACTTTTGGTTAGGCTGAAAGTGGCCTAAAAAAAAATCCAATTCTGATTGGTTCTCGCTCATGGAAGCCGAAACGAGTGCACCAAGATGGCGGTACCTTGAATGTGAACAAGAATAATGAAAATATTACCTAATTGCGGTTTATCAAGAGTAAATTGTTATTGCCATCGGTCCAAAATGAAAATAGATTAAGAAATTATTCACAAACCAATCTCATTTTCTTTTTAATTGATCAATTTGTTGATGTTGTTGTTTTTGTGTGACAGACATCGCAGGATTCCTGATCCTTATCCCTCAATATCGTTCGTTTGGGTGCACTCGTTTCGGCCTCCATGGCCAACCAAGGCCGGCTGCCAGTCAGCTGATAATCGAGTTGTCTTAACTCTGGGTATAAAGGGACTCTAGTGCCGGAGTGCCGGAAGAGGTACTAACTGGAACGGCGGAAGCTGTAGCAGCCTCTAGAGAAGCTGTCACTCAAGCATTGAAAGATGCTAAAATGTTTAAGTTGAAAGATGCTCGAGCCCAAGAAATTTTAGTCACTAGAATGGAGAAAGGTCCTTTGTCTCATATCTTATCGTGCAATTCTGCGAGTGAAATGTGGGCCAAGTTGGTCAACATTTATGAGCGCCAATCGAATGTAAGTGTTCATCTACTACAGCAGCAATTTTTCAATGCTAAGTTCGACGGAAGTGTAATGGAATTCGTAACAAAGATTCAAAACCTTTCCACTGAATTAAAACAGTGGAAAGAAGCCATTCCTGATAAAATGGTGATAACGAAAGTATTGATGTCGCTTCCCGATCGATTCAAACATTTTGTCTCGGCCTGGGAGTCAGTACCTGTAGCAGAGTAAACAATAGATAACCTCACTTTGCGTTTACCTTTACTTGTGGAAGAAGAACGTCAGAAATCTGGTGAAGAAGCTGTGGCGTTGGTAGCACAAAGTATTTCAAACTTGACATGCTTTCGATGCGGTAATCGTGGTCACAAAAAGGATCAGTGTCATACTCGACAATCGTATAATAATCGTGGTCGTGGTCGTTTTAATCAAGCTCGTGGCGGTCGGAATGATAACCATACGGGAAAGAGTGGAAATCCTATGAATGACAGTCGTTCGAATAGTGACGCGGGTGATCAGAAACCTCAGCGAGGAGGTATCCAATGTAATTTCTGTCATCGTTATGGACATCTGTGGAAACATTGTAGATTTCGCAAAAGTAAAGAAAATGGTGCTAAAACAGAAAATTCCGGCAACGATAATGATAATGGTGGAAGCAGTCTAGCGTTTTTATGCGCGGCTGAATGGGAATCCGACTCTAACTTTTACTTGGACAGTGGAGCGACCGAACATA